ACTCTCTTCCATTATTGCACAGGAGCTCGCTTACCTTCATCTCTTTCGATACGTTCAATCTACTCTCTTATCCTCTATATCTCATTGCTAGTACCGGTAAGGCTGGTTTGCTACCAATCCAACGATCCTTCCAAACCTTTGCCTCAGTACCATTTTCCAACATCGTTTTAGCACCTTGCTTAACCAGTTTTTGCGCAGCGTGTATGCTTCTCCACGCATGAGAGGGTCGTGATCCAAGCGATTCATTCAAAGGGTCTGATTTTTTAAAATATCGGCTTTGAAATACACGAGAGAGTTCTTGTTTGTCAGCATCCTCCATAGTTGCTTACCGAGAAGAGCTAAGTTGAATACTTTCATATCTTTAAAACCCAAACCTCCTCCACTCTTTGATTTGCACAAACTCTCCCAACTCTTCCAATGCATCCCTCTTGATTCTCGACTGTTCCACCACCAAAAATCTGACATAATAGCCATAATCTGCTTACAAATTGTTTTTGGGAGAATGAAGCAGGCCATGGTACATATGGGAAGGACCATCGCTACTGCTTTCAAGAGCATTTCTTTTCCTGCTGGAGAGGGGAATTTTTTCTGCCATCCGTGCACTCTCCTATTCAAATTCTCCTTCAAATAACTCAGGATGGAGACCTTGGATCCTCCAAACGACTCCGGCAACCCTAAATAATGGAACGGCCTAGGATAGGCTGTGAGTCCTTAGATCACTTGAAGGAGGGTGTAAAGATGGTTGTCCAGAGGCTACTAGCACTCAGGTTGGACGATGGCTTCTCTCTGGAACTATGGAGCTGCTTCAAAGATGTATAGCTACTCAAAGACACAAGATCACCTTGTATTTTCTAAGATGGGTTTCACTAGGAGATCCCTCTCCTTAAGTGAGTTCAATGTTCTGAAATGCTGAACAGAGAAAGCAAGAAACGACACAAGTATTTTGCTGAAAAGCTTTGATAAATTGAATGAATGTTGTTGCCTTTCAGCTGCGGCATAAATAGAAAACTTTCCCTCCCACGCAACTAACCTAATCCTAAACCAAGTTGGTTTAGTCTAATCCTAATCCTAACCCAAATAGGAATTCAAAAACATAACCAAACCGGAATCCTAAATCTATTTGTCTTTGGTTTAATTAAAACAAATCGAAATTACATTAAACCAACAAACTGGTTTGTTTACAATCTTGGTAGTTTCTTCCTCTTGCTTCTCGTGATCCATAAGGCAAAGAATGGTTTGCCTCAGAGCTTTAGTCTTTGATCTTGTCATAGGTCCATGCGCAAAAGTCAATACATCTTCTTGCTGATGTTGTTCCTCTTGAGTTCTCTCCTCATCCGTATGCTCTCCTTACGAAGTTGATCCTCCAGTGTGATCAGCAAGCTCAGCCTCATCTCGAGTTGCATTCTGATCCAGCTCCTCATATTCACTAGTCCACTCAGGTTCTCTATCTTCTCTTTGTGCAAAGAGTTCATCTGATCCAATGGTGGCCGCACCAGATAAAAACCTTCCCCTCGTGTTTTCACAATCCCAAGCTTCCTCTTGATCTCTTCCCTTTTGCCTTCAGGTATATTCTTACCAAAATACACACTAGACTTCTCATTATTAATCATTTCCCCTGACGCCAAGCTATATCGCTGGAGGATATCTACCACTCGGTTTAGTTAAACATCTGTCCCTTTGCAGTATAGCATACTATCATCTGCGAACAATAAGTGTGATATTGGTGGGGCTTTTCTTGCCACTCTAATACTTGACAATCTCCTCTTTTGTTTTGTTAGCCTCAACATCTGAACCAACTGTACAGATGACAAAAAGGTACAGGGACAAAGGATCTCTTTGTCTTAAGCTTCTGGTTGGAGTAATCCTTCCATGAGGTTTCCCATTTATTAGCATCTGATGAGGTACAGTTCATAATGAGATTTCTTCAAACCTTCGAAAATCCAATTGCTTTCATTGCTATGTCCAGAAAGGACCATTCAACTTGGTCATATGCTTTGGAGATGTCAAATTTAATGGCTATGAACTCCAATGAACACTTATTGTCTGATGTAAGTGCGTGTAACAGCTCGTGTGCTACGAAAATATTGTCGGAGATTAGTCTGCCCTCCACAAAAGCTGCATGTGTTTCAGAGATCACTTTTGGCAGTATCTTTTTCAATCTTTTCGACATGAGCTTAGATACTATCTCGTATACCACAGTACAGAGACTAATGGATTTGTATTCACTCAAGCTCTTTGCCATCAGTGTCTTCGGTATTAAACAGATATTTGTATGTGTTCATACCTTCCTCCAACACCCCCGACTCAAAAATAAAAATGTCAACTAGTATTGTTCACTTAATTTTTTTTATATTTGTTCATTTGTATTTTACTATTTTCTTTGGAATTTAAAGAAAGAAATAAAATGTCATCACGGAATCTTTGAGTTGTACTTACTTTTTTATTGCATCACCTAAAACGGTCAACTAGTAAATTTTTAATTGGGGCCCGCTTGACAATTCACAAAAGAGATACACACGTCAAATTCTAAGGCCATGATTATCAGTATATCTTACCGCATATCTTAGCTTTAATATGCATTTAATTTAAATGAAAATGATGCAATAACACAAAGGACGTTCTTAGTTAAGACACAAAATTATGCGTCCTTAGTTGCTACGTGGCGAGACATGAATAGCCGATGAAAGCGGTGAACTTGCGGTGAACTTGAACCGATTTCGTGTTTCATTTCCGCATCTTCGTCTCTTTCCTTCTCTCTGTTGGTGATTGAAAGGTTGATCTAATCTCACAGGCGCAACTTCTCTCTGACGGATCTCGTCTCGACGATCTCCTCCAGAGGCATCTCCTCCCGACTCTGGATCTCGTTCATCACCACCGTATTCCGCGATTCGAAGGTGAAAGAGTGAAAGAGTAGGTGTTCCTCCTCCGTATGATTTGCATGTTTTATCGTTTTAGATCTACTTCGTTGGGATTTGCATGTATTTGTTTGTTGTTTGTGTTATTAATCTGATAATGTATCTACTTCGTTGATATTTGCTTTGTTGATATGTACACAACTCAAACATCATCCTCTGTTTTTACAGAGTTTTGAATTGCCTTTATTTTCTTGTCCCCTACAGTTTTGCATATTTATGTATGTTCTATAAGAGAGGAGTGTCAACTTATCCAGCACCAAAATAAGAGTCTCGTCATGTTAGTGAAAACAATTATTGTTCTGTAGGTATAGATCTTATCACAGAGTTTGATAAGATCTATATATTTTCTTTGTTAATATCTGCTTTGTTACATATATTTAACCTTCTCTTGAGCTCCCAAGTTGGTATTTGCTTCGCTACATAGTTAGTATATTGTTGTACTCAACTATTTCGTCCACTGCTCATGTCAGTAGGTGTTATTTGCTTCGTTGATTGCAACCAAAACGTGTAGACTTGAGGTCTTGTTTGTATACTGAATTGATAGGCTAGTTTGATTGCAAGGCTAGTGAAATGAATCTCTAGTTTGATTGCAGGACATAAAATGAAATGAAATGAATCTCATATGTGTGTTCTTTTGATTCTGAGGTTAATATGTGAGGTGAGGTTCGTCTACAATATCCGATTCGTCTACAGCAGAGAAGCAACTAAAGAGACACAGCTCAAGGTAATTAACTTTCTCTTTATCTATTGTTACGATAATGATGTATTCTTGTTTGTATACCGAAATAGGTGTGATGACATAATCTTGAACTCTTGTTACGATAACTCGCGTAGGCTTGAACTTGAGTATTTGTGATGACATAATCTTGAACTTAAGTATTACCTCTTACATTCCTTTATTGTTTGTAGATGGCATTTCCGCATGAACCTCATTTTTTAAAGCCTCTTCTTCCTGGTTTCCACACTGGTTTAATAGACACACTCTCTCTATTTTTTTCCGTTCTATATGTTTCTAATTTTTAGTTGTGCTTAACTCTGAGTTTTCTGTATTGCAGACCATACCACTAACCTTCTTCTCAAAGCACGTAGAAGGGAACCAGACACCATGGCACCTAAGATCAGATGTTTCTGATAAGACTTGGGAAGTCATACAACAAGGCAGGAGACTCACCGCCGGTTGGAAAAAATTCGCCCAAGCACATAACCTTCAAATCGGTGACATTGTCATCTTCAAAAAGGAAGGAGACAATGTGTTTCATGTAACTCCATTTGGTCCTATCTTTTGTGAGATTAAGTATAAACCTCCTCACGTGATCAAGGAAGAAGCCGGCGCAAATGATGCTGCAGGTGAGATTAGTAAGTTTCAATAAAAACTCATCGTTTTCTTTTGATTTATTAAAAAAATTTCTTATGTTTCAGGAGGAACAGGAGCAATGTCTTCTCTCTCATTTGAGTACTGTTTTTTGGCTGAGGTCACGGCTTCAAACTTAAAAGAAGACAAACTGGTAAGTAGTGTGGTGTTTAGTGTTTCTCTTGGCATCTAATAAAAGACTAACTTTTGATTTGTTATGTGCTTGCAGCATCTTCCTGCGCCAGCTACTCATTGTATTGTTTTGAACAAACAATGCCAGGAGGTGATACTAGTGAACAAGGAGGGAAACTCATGGATTGCGAATTTGCTCTTTTGCGAATCAAAGAGTATGTATTACATCAGAGGAGGGTGGACGAAGTTCTGTTATGATAACAGAAGCGACATTGGAGACTTATTTGTCTTCAATATCGTTGGAGATGGAAAAAGTGCTCCATTGTTCTGTGTTTGTTCTGAACGCAAAGAGTGCTCCAAAATACTGAAAGAATATTTGAGCAGAAAAAGTTGTGGGTTGTGTCTTGGGTAGTGACTTGTAATGTTGGTTATGACTTAGCATGTTGGTTATGACTTAGCTTGTATTGTATAATGACTTGTTTCATGTTTGTTATGACTTAGCTTGTATGCGGTAATAACTTGTTTCATGTTTTTAACTAATTTTTCAATCTTAATGTTTTATGTTTTTAAATAATGTATTGTATGTTTAAACTTATTGTATGTTTCAATCTTAATGTTTCATGTTTTTAAATAAGAAACTACAAAAGTCCTACCAATAATCTACACGTTTAACAAATGTCCTTAACAAAGTCCTAAACATACAAATAATATAAAAATAATCTAAGGACTTTCTTTTTGTCCCACCAATAATGATGCCCTAACTACTCAGAGTCCCGTGTCCGGGATGTATTTCCAGCCGCAGAGTTCTTTTTGTGGTCCTCGAACGATCGTCGTGGCCGACATTTTCGGCCGTCCGATTCATCTTGATAATAATTATAAGTTTATACTAAAACCAAATATTTGCTGACAAAATAATAAAACCAAATATTTGATGACAAAATAAAACACAGTTGAACTCTCGCTCTCTCCAAAATCATCAGTTCCCGCTTCGTATCGTCAGATACGGAGAAGGACGCCACACATGATGTCATCCCACCTGATTTTCATGGGTCCCGCTTTGTGGACACGTCAGCATAGACAATGAGAGCCGTTGATTAGGCAAGAGGAAGAAGGAACGGCCAAGATGCCTAGACGCGAAAGCTCAGTTAAAAGGCTCTCGGCTGGCGGCCGTTTTAATCTCAGCGGTGGCGGCATCCACGGTTTGCTAATCCCTTCTATAATTACTTGATCAATCATTTCCTCGTCCTGACCCGGCTCCAATACACCGCAAAACCGACCCGGATATTAACAATTTAATAATATAGTTTATTTAATTCTTTCTAATGCAAAAATAGAGAATTTATGAAAATTTTACCAGCTGAGTCGCCGGAGGAGTACTGAATGTTCCTGTTATCGGGGTAGAAATGAATGTTCCGGTTACCGGTGGTCCAACCGGATAACCCCAAGTATTACCATTCAACTGAAACACGATAATACATAATATAACATCCAATCATTGATATAGCTATCATTTCTAAACATTGCATCACTAAAATCTTATCTAACTTGGTTTTTTTGTCAAACAATCTTATTTAAATAACCAAGTTTTACTTATACAATTTTACGACTTCAACAATGACAATTTTTTGTAGCTAAAATGACGTTTCTTGTTGTAATAAATCTGATTTAGTTCCTTTTTACTCGAATCTTTGACTTTATATAAAGAGAACTTAAAACGTTACCGTTGGATAAGGTGGTTTATAATGCCATGGAGGTAGTTGAACGGCGGATGGGAATGCTGGCGGCCACATAGGTGAAACTGCTCCAGGCGGATGAACACCGGGAGGACCCCAAACGGGATAAGCCATTACAGGGCGGTGTTGTTGCTGAAAACCGTTATATTGCCGTTGGATAAATCTATGGTTATGATCATCCTTTGGAAGAATATTCCTCCTACGCTTCCGAAATTTCTGCTCAAAAACAAAAAAAAATACGTAACATTTCACAAAAATATATGTAAAAAACACTCAACACTTAAGAGTTAAATACCTGAAGGTGGCTAGCTACATTATGTCGAGTTAAGCCATTTACTTTCATCAATTTAAGAATCTTTGAAGGTATCGCTTGAGCTCCAAGTTGCTCTACCGCTTGTACAAACTTCTTGTGCAGCCCTTCTGTCCAATCCACCTGAAGGAAAAGATCTCATTAACAAGGCTAAATCGTTTAGAAACTACGAGGCATAAAGAGAAACCTGACATTACCTTCTTTCGACTAGCTTTGTTACTAGACAAGTTCTTGGTCCCGGATGATTTATTAATAGGTTTACTAGTCTCATCTACTTTCCTATGAAAATTCACTGAATCTCCGGTTTCATCTTCTTCTTGTTTATGTTCTCCGGTTTGGCCTTCTCCTTCTTCCTTTTCACCATCTCCTTTCTCTTCTCTGACAAGCACATTGTCTTCAAGATCTGTAATGTCGACTGATTTGGATTCACCTGTGTCATGATCCTCCGTGTTCTCTTTCTCGGTCGAGGAGTTTACATTTTCCACCGAGAAATTTATGTTCTCTTGGTCTAGTAACCGTGAAACTTGCCTTAGCTGAGGGGTTGATGGTGCTGGATCTTTCTCATCGATTGTCATATTGGTATCGAGATTAATCACCGAGACAACAGAATCTTTAACCGGCTTAAGTAATTCCGAAACACTAGCTCCTCCATCATTAAATGCCTAACAACAACAATATAAATGTACATTTTCTTAGATCGTTACACTATTATGTAAGATGCATAGAAGAAGATAATAAACTAACCGAACCTTATGAACGACATGCTGCCAAATATTCTTTAGTTTCTCCGGTGAGAGCGGTTTTTGAAGGAACTCAACAGCACCAAGCTGGAAAACACTTCATCACATAACCAACATTTTTTATACATCTAAGGAAAAATGCAAGTTACGGTCGCTTACCGCTATGCACTTCATTGTAGTTGTGATGCAATGGTCGTCCGAAATCACTGTAAAGACAAAAACAAAATCTACATTTCTCAAAAAACAAATTCATATTGTAGAAATTCGTAGAAACTTCAGGGGTACTGTTCACAAACTTATAGTAGGGAGAAGGCCTTTGGCAGCTTCAAGAAACTTGAAACTCTCATCCTTGACACTCGTATTCACCTCGATGATTGCAATGTGGAAGCTCTCCGGGCTTTTGAAAACGGCGGAGAGAGCTTCAGATTCGTCAGTGAATATAGTGACTGCAAGACAGTTCCAAGAAAATCAAAGAACTGAATAATGCACAATAAGAGCTTTGAGATAGTTTGGATTCCGGTTCAGTAAACCCGAGAAACCACATATTCTCAGTGTAAGAGTAACGCTAATGATTTTTTTTGCATTAATAGCTCTTTCAAGATTCTACAAACGTAATTATTAAAAATAACAAAACTCCAAAATATAACTGCACAACCTTTACTACTGTTTTCCACTTTCAACCAATTAAACCGTTCCTTTTCTTTACTATAATCTATTATACATTAATTCATAACAATCTTATTATATATCAATTGATATTGTAAAAAAAAATAAAAAATCGTCACGGAACATGTAAGAGCTAAAGTAACTCTAAAATTAAACTAGTATACTATACACCGTAAGGTCTCACTCAAGTACATGACAAATATGATTTATTTATACAGAGCCATTAAATAATTAAATATTTTTTTATAAAGGATTAATATACTTTTTCTATTCAAACAAAAGCAGACAAAGGTTAGAGAGAAACTGAGGAAGAGTAGTCCGCTCACCAATATAGTCCATGGACTCGAGCTTTGATTGGGTCTCGGCGGCGGATATGCCGTCTACTCCGCCGTCGAGGAGAAGAACCCTTAGTCCCTTGGGGAAATTTTCCCAGTTCGATAAGTCGTTAGCGGTAAAGACCATAGCTGGTTTTGCATTATTTTCGCGGCCAACACTGCCGCTTCTCGCCGCCGTCACTGTTGTTGCCGATAGATTCTACGGGAACTAAATCACTATCTAGATTTTGATTAAGAACAAAAAAATTGGAATAAGTGTTAAAAGGAATAAAACATAGAAAAGTAAATATACAAAAAGGTGTGTATTATTGATGAGATAAGAAGAATAATTCATGAGGAACTTGATTTTCTTACTTAAGGAGTGGACCACTATGCCATGAAATCTAACAAAGCGTTGAATCATTTGAGAGTGAATATATTAATGGTTATAAGAAAATTATTACATCTTAATTAGTTTTTAAGTGTTGTTAACTCGTGCATGCAGTATGTATATTTAATGAAATTTAGGGGAATTGAGAGGAATACCCAGAGAGGAAAAACTGTGATCAAATTAAAAGTGCACTTTAAAACAAATTTACAGATATTTTTTTTTTCACCCGGTTTGCAGAAGAAGAAGATCCAAAATCCAGAGAAGAGATGCTTATATCATGCAATGAACATATAATTTATCAAAGTGAAAAAAAAACAAAGCTTGCAATTAAAAAACAAAATAGATTTTCACAATCAAGAAGATCAATGAAAAGAAGTAGACTAAGGGAAATCTCATATGTTTAAGGTCTTCTCATACCTGAGAGTGTTTATGCAGATCTGCTTAACCCCCTTCCTCAAGCTCGCTTTTTCTTCCACTCTCTCTGTTCTTTAGTCACATTCAAGGTTAAATCCTATGGGTGGACATGGAGACTTTTAGTGAGAGAAAATGGATGAATAGCTATATAAGTTGGTGACTAGTGTTGTTATTGTCATTCTCATTGGGTTATACACAAAGATATATGGAATCAAAGGCTTACTAAGATAAAGGTTAAAATATTGGATTTAAAAGCAAAAGGATAAATATAAATTGATCTTATACCTTTTATTTATATTTATATAAGTCCTCTAACAAAGAGAAAAGTTGGAAGTCTCCTTAGAATATTATATTCTAAATTAGTACAATTCTAATTACAAAATAGGCATTTGCTAGATATTTTACCAAAAATTGACATGACTCTCTGAGTTGAGCTTTAAAATTATATGAGCTTTAGTTTTTACATACAACTTTAAAAATTATTATCATGCTTTAATTTTTTTTATTACATTACTATTTTGTTATTAAATTACTTTTAATTGTTTTTATTAACTTACTACTATTAATTTATGTATATTGAGAAACTTAAAGTGCAGCTTTTTTTGTTAACACTCTGACAGCTTTATGCACTAAGTTTTATTTTTCAAATTTTATAATATGTGATTAATAAAATTATAAAATGTTACATTAAAAAAAATACCGACAAAATCTGAAAACTTGGAAAAAACTCAATCCAAGACGATATAAAAGAAGAAATCTAAAAATAAAATAAGCAAACGAATACAAAGCAAAATAAAAGAAAATAGTTTCATCAGGTAACTCAAAACACTCATTTTACAAGCGTAAATTTGCACGATCAAGGACCTCATTTAAAGTCCAAGCATCTAGTACTGTGCACTTCTATTTTTATTAACACTAGATCTCAACCCGCGCAACCGCGCGGATATTTGTTTTCATTTATTTTTATATAATTAATTTATATTATTACAATATTAAATTATATAAGTTTAATTTAAACATATATTTTATTATAATATCTATAAATCCAATAAACATATAATTTTTGTTAGCCCAATAAAAATTTCTAGTAAACCCAATAAATGTTATTAGTGAATCTAATGAATGTTATTAATGATTGAATAATGTAATGTTATAAATTCTGTTAGATGGTCTAGTTTTAAATATCACACATAAAGTGAAGTCATGACTTCTCTTTTAATATATAAGATTACACTTGATGTGTTTTGTACGAGTAGTAAGATTTTAAAATTTTAATTGACTTGTTAAAAATGAATATTGGTTGTTTTGAGTACTTTCTTAAAATAAGTTATCAATAAGTTATTTGTCTCATTTCTTTATTTGCTATCTGTGAATATTTATAATATTCCCTCTGTTTCAAATTGTTTCATGTTTTAAAATTTTTACATATACTAAGAAAATTTATGAAATTTTGATTACCAATACATTATTTTTTGTATCTAACTATTTTCTAGAATTTATAATCAATAGAATTTTAATAAATATTTTAAAATTTACAAATCACCATTAATTGATGTATTAAAACTGTAAAAAATGTTTCATTTTAAAACATAATTTTTTTTAAAAAAAATACAACATTTTGAAACAGAGGGAATACATGATCTGAGAACAGTGAGTATTTTAAAAATTAAGATGGGTGAGAAATGAGTAATAAATATAAAAGTAATGGGTAATTGACTATCGTGCACAGGATGCATCAGTGCTCACATAAAACCAAAATCCAGTCTTAAAATACGACAAAGCTCAACAAACAGAACTTCATAACGCTTGCTTACTCTACTAAATGCATTCTCCGAAGTCGCTAATACAAAACTATTTCATAGCCTTGCTGCTTCTTAAAACTAAGCACAAACGTATTTATTGTTTGTTTATACGTATCAGATTACGCGAATACAAACAAAATATATTTCGACCTTATTTTCTTATTGGCAACAATACATTTCGACCTTAAAATTCAGATTACGCGAACTCGCGAATGCTGGTTCGTGTTTATTATATTGTTAGTATTTTTTTTCTCTTGTAGCAGATGTCCAATAAGAAAAAGACTGTTTCAAATAAAACAAATAAATTTATTGTTGTAACTACGCACATACAACAATCAATCAAGTATAGTTTTTTTTCTGTAACGGCAATCGAAAAACTTTAGTTTGACCATATCCAACTCATGATTATTACATATTTTGAAAAGGGAGAGTAGAGTTCATTGTCAAAATGCGACTTCTTTGTCTTTTTACAAAAATTTTAATACTGTTTTAGCATTATACGGATTTGAATTCGGGTTTATGATTATTACAACAACTACGTTAAGAAAAGATTAAACTACAATTATTGCTAAAGCATTTATCAATGCGATCATTTTTGGGAAATAACCATTATTTTATAGACACTTTCATCATTACATTTTTCAGAAAAAAAAACTTTCATTTTTACATGGTCCTTTTCTTTTTTACTCATTTGAAAGATAATTGCCTTTGGTAGTTTGCTCCACCATCACCATTCTCTTTTTTTTATTGAATATAATTTAATTTGTCAACTATTCGAGCTCCGTCAAATTCATAAGATTTATCCATGTTTCCATACGATTAGAACTAGATTATACCATCTATTCTACATGATTGAAAAATCCATCTGTGGCTTTTTTTTTTCCTTTTTTAATTAAGGACTTCATCCTAACTGCTGCAATTTCAGATTTATCTGTTTGCTTTCCGGTCCGGCAGCTAGTGTCGGCCATGCAGGGGGGAGGGTGTTTGGTTTTTTTTTTTTTTTTGAAAAAGGGCTATATATACAAGGTTAGTTGATTAGTGAAAGAATATATATGCTAGCGCTCAAGTCATTGATACGCATGTAACTATCCAAGTTTGGCTGGTAAGGTAATTAATATAAGATACATGACTATTTGATCATCGACAAAAAGGAAATCTAAAAAAAAGTGGTCGACCTTGTATTGAACGAGCTTGTACGTAAAGGACCAATCGAGGTAAGTTGTAACAGATGATTTAATCGAGCCAAAAATAGAAAGGAAACAAAAACAATTAATATGATAAGCCTCTAAGTTTTAAAACAAAGGTGAGAAATACTTAATAGCACACAGTTATTGTCAAGGGCACACAGTTTGACCTGATTTTCAAGATGGTGGGTTTTTGTAACTTTTGTTTGTTTGGTAAAACTTTTTAGTAAAACTGGTTTTTGTAGCGTAGAACACTATTATTGAAAATTCTCACCCAATATATTACTCCCTCTGTTGCGGTTTACATGTCATTGTAAAAAACAAATTTCGTTTCAAAATAAATATCATTTTATAGTTTCGGTAAATATATTTTATAAACTTTCTATATTTTATTAGTTGAAATGTGGTTAGGTGTATAGATAATTGTGTTTTTATTTTGAAAATATGTAAAATTAAATGTTTTTTAATATGTGTGCAAAAACTTAAAACGACTACTAACATAAAATGGAGAGAGTTTCATTTAATTAAAACTAGATTTTGATCCGCGCATTCGCGCATATATTTATTTTTATTTTTATATACATACATTATTTACATATTTATCAGTTAATATTTTAAATATTTATCATTGCATGGGTACTTGTTTTTATTTTTATATACATAGATATTATTTACATGTTTATCGGCTAATATTCTAAATATTTATCATATTTTAATTTTGTTAGAAACACAATAATCAAATAGTTTATGTGAAGTAAAAATAGTAATCCGCGTGCTTTACTAAACTTTCGACAAATACTAATCTATTGATATGCTTCAGTAGTATTTCTTTTTACACAATTTTTTTTTTCAAAATGCAATCATATTTTAAATATTTGATTATATATGATACCATATGGTGAGATTTTGATACATTAGAAAAAGGATATTCGGTTATAGATATTAAATATTAAATATTATTCTACAAATAATTCAAAGATATTTAAATTTTATTATGATAGCTTTTATTATTGAAAATAATCAATAGTAAACAAAATGGTTAAATATATATTTCTGAAATTTTTAAAATATACATAATTTTAAGTGATATTTAGTTATATTAAAAAAATATATAATACAAACACTTTATATTATTCTAAAATTAATTTAAAGATATTTAAATCTTAACATATAAAGATTTTATTGTTAAAAATAATCATTGGTAATAGTAATGGTGAAACATATATTTTAGGAATATTTTTATATTGTTTAATATCGATTTTAAATTTGAATTTTGTTAAAATAATTAATGGTAACAATATCTAATTTAATATTGTTAAAATCGATTATAAATTTGAATATTCCTAAATATTAGTTAAGTCGTTTTATGAAATATGTTAGACACAAAAATTTAGATAAACTATATTTAAAAAATAATTGAATAAAATAAGAAAAGAAAAAGATTCTTTTAAAATAGGTTCATTTAATTACTTCAGTGTACATTAGATCATGAATATTATGCAAGATTAAGGACTTATGCAAGATTAAGGACTATTTTTTGGATACTTCTGTTTTAATAAAATATATAAATTTAACGAAAGCAGGAGAGAAACAAGTAAAAAGTTTTTATATCAGAACTTTTGAGCTACTTGTTACAGCTTCAAATTCCATGTGGCATCCATGAGCCAATTCACTTATTTAAAGAATACGGAAAATAAATGTATAATTAAAATATTAGTATTTTTTATTTTTCAGAAACGTAATAGATAATTTGGGTTAATAACAATTAGTTTTGAAAAAAAAACTCTATACCCATAGTAAGCCCATGGGTAGGATATGATACATAATATTACGTATAATGGCCATTATGCCCCTTTTCTGCGCGTGTACATCTTCTTCTCCCTCATTCCGTAACCCTAAAAATCATTACTCAGTTTCCCGCTTACAAAATTATAATTACCGACGGTTGAGCCTTCAGACATCTGCGACGAGTCTTACCGCCAAGACACCACATCGGAGACGACGATGGCCGAGAGTTGGTTTGTCTAACTGATTGAGACGGAGTGGGATTACGAATCGTCGGAGGCGAAGTCACAAACATCAAAATCTGAAAGGTAATCTTTCTCGGTACTGGGTAAAAAATTTCTTTCCCCCAAAACCCAATTGCATGTACTCTGATA